GGGGGGAGATGTGTGGGGCCAAAAAAAGCACCACATTGAGCGCGCGCGCGCAAATCGTGGCGCATACAGACCCCATGAGGCGTGCCTCTCTCTCTACTCACGGGGGTACTTGCTGTAGAGCGAACCATCAGCGCCAACTTCGCAGCCCTTCTCCTGATAGCCCATCTTCCTGACAATTGCCGCAATGCCGCAAGAGCTAAGACGAGCCGCTCTGGTTCCGATGAGCTCCGCGAGCTGCTTGAAGAATTTTCGCTCCTCGATCGTCGTTTCCAACCCGAAAAAGTGAGCGAACAGGCCAGTGACGGTGAGCAGCTCGTCCGTCGGGTCCGATTCGATCAAGCTCAAAAAGGCAGTGTCGAACACGTTGGGCTTTTCGATCTTGTACGTGTTCTGTCCCAGGAATAGCACACCTTCATCCACCAGGTCGCACATCACCAATCGGAAAATCTCTCCCAAATACAGCCCAGCGATCATCTTTTCGTACGCCTGCTCGTGAGGCTTGTTGCTGTGCAGATCAATGTACTCGTCGTACTTTGTTCGGATATCCGCCATGTGCTTGTGCTCGAAGGAATCGAAAGCTCCATACTCGCAATTGATCGCCATGTCCTCATCTTCTGGCAGCTTGTGGTGCGCAATCTTGGGAATGTTCTTAATGTGCTCCATGTACGCGGCGTTGCATCCCGTGCCGAAAATGCACGCGATGCGCGTGTCTGGCCTGACGTAGTTGGAGGCGATGAGCGTCCCGGTGGTGTCGTTGATCAACGACGTCATCTTGATCGGCACCTCGTACTTTTCAAGACTCTTTTTGAACATGTCGGCCACATTGTTACCCTCGGTGTTTGGGTTGCCGAAACCCTTGGTCCACCGAACGAGCTTGCCGTGGTCGATGCGCTCTTGTCTATTGCGGCAGCATGATCTGGTGAGCGGCCGGAGGGGGGAGAGAGCTCGTGATCGCGAGCATATGCGACTCACTCCATAGGGTAGCTAAAAGTGAAACCGAGAGCGATGTCCTCCTCCAAATGCACCTCTCCATCGCGTCCACCAAAGTGATCCTTGATGAAGGTGTTCAAGCAGTCGGCGCAAAAGTCGAACAACTCTTGACCTTCGCACTGCTTTTGCTCGTCCGTCAGACGGAATTTTGTCTGCGTGACGTCAAACTCTCCCTTACCCTTGAGCGTGACATGGCAGACTCTCAGGTTGGTACCTCCCAAGTCAAGAGCCAGATAGGAGCCCTTCTCGTCGCCAGTAGGCCAGCCAAATACGTAAGCTGGAAGCATTGGCTGAGAGGGAGAAGATAGCGAGTCAGATCACGCTGCTGATCAGTCAAGCTTCGCCCTTCTCCTGCAGGACGCATGGCCCCTTGACCGCACACAAGCCGCAACGCAGCGCGATTTAGCAACACACTCACCACCGTCTGGCCATCCTTGTGCAGACCTTTTTCCAGCGTCTCTACAAATCGATCAGTGATTCGAACGAGCGTCTCTGGCGTGAGTGTAAACATGTCCTTGTACTTTTGCAGCTCTTCATCCAGCTGCTCTTGAGCTGCTGACATTTTGTTGCGCGAGGAGTGCGAGGAACTGTGCCAAGTGACGATCTGCACAGCGAAGCAAGGTGCGATTCGTGAGCAAGCAAGCAAGCAAGCAAGCAAGCAAGCGAGCGAGCAAAAGCACTTTGGCATCTGGTGCACCGAAGCCTTTCAGATCTCTGCGCGTCGCATTGCATGCCAGCCTGCTTGCATCGACTCCTTTCCCCACGTTTCATCGGTGCGCGACGCATATATGCTCATTACGCGGCGCCTTGATTGGTCCAGAAATGGCGCTTGAAGCATTGCACGAGCAGGCTCGGCACCTCTCAGCGAACCTCGACGCGGCGAGAGCCGTACCAGCAGGCTGGGATGTTGCCAGGCTGCCTGCCTATCATCGAGCCAAATCTTGAGGGTCGATCGCCGAGAGGAATTGAACAGGGCGCAGCCGACTGTACGCTGCTGCTGGCTGGAAAACTCACATGATCGCCTGCTCTCTCTACACCGCTTCCACGCCTTCCGCGAAGAGCTTGCGCTCCACTCGCATCCTTTCCTCCTCCGCTACCTCCCATCTTGGCGTCCGCAGACGGTGCCCTCTGAGCAGCTGCTGCTGTCGACATTGTGATGTGATCGTTGCTTGCGGCGCCTAGAGGTAGGGCTGTGTTCGTTGCTGGGTGCAGGGTTGGCTTGAGAGGTGTGCGTGCTCTTCTTGTTGATGGCGTTCCTTGCAATACTTGGCGAGTTCGTGCTTGTGCAAACGAGCCCCGCGCTTGAGCAGCAGATGTTGAGTCAGGATGTCTGCGGTCAAGGTGATGATGATGATGATGATGATGATGATGATGCTGGTTGCCAACTTTGTCCAGAAGGGAGGCGAACAAAGTCAATGAGTGATGATTTCGAAGGTGAGCAAGACACCCGGCGCGCGCGCGCAAGAGCAGCAGCAGCGGCAGCAGCAGCAGCAGCAGCAGGTGGAGGATCGAGGGACACCACATCATGCTTGCATGCAGCGGCGCGTGAGCAGGAGCAGCTATAGCGGCGCATCGCAGCGCAGCCATGCCCCCCCCCCCCCCCCCCCCCCCCCCCCCCCCCCCCCCCCCCCCCCGCGGTCATCCGCGCGCACGCCCGCGCAGCCAATTAAGCGCTCGATCACCCATCATTCGACTTCACTCGATCAAAAGTCACGACTTGACTGCCAGCAGAGGGCTGATGCGCAGACGGACGCCCATGCATGCATGCCCATGCCCATGCCCATGCCCATGCTCATGCTCAAGACTCACAACTCGTGCCCCAGCAGCCTCATCCGACTCACGCGCGCACACAGCAGCTCCTCTTCTCTTCAGCCGATTCCAGGCCGAGGTGCAGCAGCTGCATGGATCATTCAACAATCAACAATCGTAAATGGTAAATCGTGGATCACCCCGACTTTAAGCCTTTCTGCTTTGTCGATGCGAGATCTCGACCAATTTTGAATTCTTTTGGTTGGGGTTGCATACTGTAGCGCATTTCCCAGTCACCCGATATGAGTGACTCAAGACTCGTGACTGTGATGCCCACGCAGGCGATGCATGTGATGGCGCTGCATATATATGTGCTGGGTGCTGCCTGCTAGACTTGTGGCTGCTGAATCAGAATCAAGAATATGAATATGCACACACGCGTAGCTAGCCGATCTTTGGAGGTCGAGCTCCATGCATGCATCAATCAGCCTGTCCACCACCGCCGACGCGTCATCGTGCTTGCGGAGACCTCGATCGCAAAACTGATCACGTGACCATTTGAGTTGGAAAGTCTTTGAGTCTGAGTCAAGAGTCACGAGTGTCGGTCGGGCGTGTCCAACCGCGCATATGTGTGCGCATCGTGGAGTCTCTTATTTCGGACGCGTGCGCAGCTTTCAATCAAGCTCCACATCAGCCAGCCGACGATCCCATACGCGTTCATCATTTCGCTTCCCGATTCCAAAAGCTGGCCCCTTTATCGGCCTATAGACTCAAAACTCAAATCTCGCAATCCACGACTCACGACTCGCGACTTGACGTCGACCTGCTCTACCTTACATTCGGGTGTTCAAGCTGCACTCGTGACTCCCTGCACCAAGAACGACTGGGGGGGGTTGGTGTGTGCAAAGGACCTAGCCATGTCAGACTCAAGCATGGCCTCTGCAAGAAGAGTTGTGACGCGACCCGTTCGGGTGCGGGATGAACGCATCTTTGGCTTGGCACCTCAGCACGTCCTAGTGCTCGGCATTCCCCTTTGCATCGTAGCAGTCGGATCATTTCACTCGGTTCTAAGCGGATCTCACCTGTCCAACCTGTCCATCACCTCTCCATTGCAAACGCAAACCATTCCGTCGACCGCCGAGTCGTCCGCACCTTCAGCAGCAGCAGCAGCAGCAGCTCCCCTATCTTACTTTGCGGACAGGAGAAACCTGCTCAATGTCGTGTTCATCAAGAACCTCTGGGCTTGGACTAGCCTGGCGTGGTTCTTGCAAGCCATCACGCTCAGAGCTGCTCCATCTCTGCAAGAGACGAGATCCGTACAGCTAGCGCAGAACAAGAAGAGGAGGGACGTGGATGATGCGGGTGCGGGTGCGGGTGCGGGTGCGAGTCAAACGGATCAGGATGGGACCATCGTCAGTCCGCTTGCCAGATCAGCATTCAGGTACGCCATCGCTACAGCTACTTGGCGTGAGTGTCGAACAGGCTCGCGAGCTCTCGAGAGAGGACAATCCATGTGCTTGTATGCCTTGGAGCCGTCATCGCGTCCGCTTCCACGCTGTGCGCTCCCGATCTTGCTCACTCTTGCTCTTACCGCACTCGTCTCCGTCGCGCTGCTACCATCGACAATCTCAGTGTGAGTCGTGGCGCATACATGCGCTTCTTGGTAGCCTAGCTCATGCCAACGCCAATGTCAATGTCACCTTCTTCGACAGCCTCTTTGCCGCTTGGTTCTTTGGTCCCTCCTTGACGACGCGCCTTCGAGTCTGGACAGGAGCGACGTGCGTGCCTGCTAGCATCATCACTGCTGCTCCCGGCATCGTCGTGCCGCCGGGTGGCATCGATCCGATCATCTGTCTGACGGGAAAAGGCATCACGCCAGCGTCTCATCCCACGCTGTTCTCAGCAGCTACTCTGAGCGGCGCGCATGCCAGCGGAGGTGTGATCCGTCCCAAGTGTGAGTGCGATGGGAAGATGCGCGAAGGAAATGGTGTGGAGCGAGATTGGGTGGGGGGGGGACGTCGATGATCGTTCGAGCTGACCACCGATGCACGACATCCACAGTCAGAGGAGGTCACGACTTATCAGGTCACACGTTTATCCTCCTCCTCTCCTCGCTCTTGCTGGTAGAAGATCTACTGCCCTACCTCTCCTATCTGATGCCCAGTATTCCTCTTCCTCGTTCCTTGCGCGCATCTCGAAATCCCTTTAGCAGCAGCAGCAACGGCAACGGCACCAACAACGAGGTCAAAGCGCTCATCAACAGATCGGTCGCCTATTTCATCCTGCTGGTGATCCTGCTGGAATGGTTCTGCCTACTCAACACCGCCCTCTTCTTCCACACGCCGCAAGAAAAAGTCTCTGGCTTTGCAGCTGGCGTGCTGGGATGGGCTTTGTTGCCCAAGGGAGGCTGACAAATGATGAGATATACGAATGGGAAAAGGATGCTGCTATGCCCCCACATGCAGGGGCTTTGAAGCTCGTATCTCGAGATTGAGCGCGAACCTTGCGCAAGCTTGGGTGGGATATAGAGGGATTGACAACATTTCGGAGCCTACCGCGGTGCGGTTCAAGCACAATCGAAGAGATACACAGGTTCGACTTTTTTGCACGTCGAAATAGATTAGTCTGTATGTAGTCGCTCGATTAGCATCTATTGTCGTGACTTTTTGAAGTGATGAGGAGGAGGAGAGGGTGGTGTACGTATGAGTGGTGGGAATTTGCGCGTGCGAGCGCGCGCAAGTTGGCAACCATGAAGCCTGACGATGCGAGTGATCGAGGCCTTTGAGCTTTGGCTGCCAGAAGAGGGGAAGCAGATCGTGAGAGGCACACATGTACCGCTCTCTGACGTGAGCCGACTTGTGACTTGCACAACGTGATTCGGCGCGGATGATCGCGCGGGGGGCGGTATCCTCCGCCTAGCTGGTCTTTGCAGCTGCCGTCTTGGCCTTTGCAGTCGCAGTCGCAGCAGCTTTGGCCTTGGCCTTGTTGGCAGCCTGCACGGCCGTATTAGGTTTGGCCCAACCCAGCTTGACCATCTGCTTGACAAAAGCCGGCGTGACGGCAGCTGTGAGCGCTACTCTAAAAGGTAGCAGCAAGGTCTTGTGGATAGTGTATGCCAGCACCAATTCCGTCCATACAGCCGCACTGATCATGCCTTCTCCCTCTCCTCCTCCTCCTCCTCCGCCTGCTGCTGCTGCTTTGTCCACGCTCTTCTTGCTATTCGCAGCCCCACCACCGCCCTGCTGAGCTGTAGACGCGTCGTCACCCGCCCCTTGCGCTCTCGCACCAGCCTTTTGCAATCGCAAAGCGCTCCTCGCAGCTTCCGAATTGTTCTCCCTCAAATGGCCCTTGGTCTTGCCCTCTTCTTGCGCGCTGGGCATCTCCAAAGGCCAAGCAGCCACATCCTCATCCTTCATTTGCCTCTTTCCAATACCCGCCCACTCCCTCACCCTGCCTTCCAATTTGCGTATGTGATCCGCACCTAGCAGGTGAATCGCTGCAAAGGTGAGGGAAACGTCGACAAAGGACCAGAGCTGGTACACTCCTAATGCCCACCAACCGTACCTCTTCCACAAGTACCGCATGCGCTCCTTGAAGGACCGCGGCTCTGGCTCTGGCTCTGGCTCTGGATCTGCTTCCCCATCCGCATCCTCCTCGGAATAACTGCTGCGTGATCTATCCTGCTGCGCTGAGCCGCTGCTGACGTCGCGCCCGACCGATGCAGCCTGAGCTCGGCGAACTGCGCAAGAACAAAAGGACGCTCGATGGGAGTGCGCATACGTGTCCAGATTGTCGAATGACCGTGTGCGCTTCGTCAGCTTGGTGATAGAGCGTGGCAGGGCAGCAGCAGCAGCAGCAGCAGCAGCCGCGGATGCGTTTTGCGCCGCCGGGTAGATGGACTCGAAGTGGCCTGATGCGGCGCGAACTCGTCCATTCGAGCTGAGCGTGAGCAGTCTTGCGGGCATTGAAACACGCGCGGACGTAGACGTAGGCGTAGGCGTAGGCGTAGGCTTGAGCATAGAGCCGGCGGCGAGACTCGTGCCCGAAGCGCAAAGACTTTGTTGATTCGCCACCATCCGCCCCATCGCAGCACCCGCCGTCCCTCTCGTCAGGGAGGCGCTCCTCAATGTGAAGCTCATGCTGAACCCCCTTCGTTTTACACCAGCCTGCCCTCTCGCAATGCAAACCCGCGCCCTTCCACGTCTGCGTAATCGCGGTGAGCGCAAAGGTGGACGATGGCGAAGAGGTGAGGCCTTTGAAGTGGAAGGGGGTTGACGCTTTGCTGGAAGATCTGCACTCACAAGATAGCTGGGCGAGAAGCAAAGCGCAAAGTGCTTGGCTTGGGGTGCTTTGCAGCACGAACAGTCGAGCGATCAAGGTCTGTGTGTGAATGAGCTTGCGTTGAGCTTGCAGCGTCGAGCGTCGAGCGTCGAGCGTCGAGCGTCGAGCGAGGAGTTGAGTGATGGGGTGAGGAGATTCGCTCGATTGTGACTCAACTGTTGTGCTGACTGCCTCCCCAGCAAGCATCCCCTGCGCGGCAGCTGCTGCACGAGCAGCCGCCGGGAATTCAAGCCCGCCCGTCCAACGAGGCAGCTAGCAGGCGGACCACATCACGGCGCACGTGCGAAGCACGTACCGCGTCCCACTCAACTTTTGTCCAGCCCCACCTTGTACCGTAGGTACCGACCGGTATACCTATTTGGACTCGTACGTTTGCGCGGACTCGTGACTGTACGCGGTAGATCAATCAGAATGTCGCTCGCTCGAGAGATGAAGTTGGGACCGCTCGACTCAAAGAAAACTCTTGCCTGTCAAACACACCCAATCGTGAATCAAATCAACTATACCGTCGCGAGTCGCGAGTTGTAGCAGTGATCACTAAAAGTCTAGACCGAATCGAGTAGTCACAGCGCGACTGCTGGCCGCCATGCACAGAACTTTTCGCAATTCCTTGACTTGAATTTCTCTCTCTCTCTCTCTCTCTCTCTCTCTCTCTCTCTCTCTCTCTCTCTCTCTCTCTCTCTCTCTCTCTCTCTCTCTCTCCTCGCAAATCTCTTTACATTGGCCTACAATACATCAGACCAGACAAAGGTGGACAGGGAAGGGTTGTTCAAAGTCTTGCAAGAGGCCCCATTCGGAGTGCTCAAGCGTCTGTTACGTCGATGCAGGGCTACACGCGCTTCCTCACCCGATCGGTTCAAGGGATCACACGCGCACCCCCTTCTTGTTCCTTGGTGATGGTGCGACCGCCATCTTGAATTTCTCCTTTTCCGACTATGCCAGAGTCCCTTCTTCTGATCGACCAGCGTGCATGGCGCAAGAGCTCGTGCTGCTCCTTTAATTTTCTACGCGATTATCAGAGAGGTTGAGCAAAAGCGTGGCCAAGCATCGTTTTGTGATCTGCCAATAGGGGGAGAGAGAACATGAGCCAATGAAACGGGAAAAGAAAGACCAAATAGAACATTCAGCGATTTCGATTCACTAATTTTGGCAGCTCAAAGAGCCCTCCGATTCTTCCTGTCGCGGCCCTCCAGGTAGACCAGACGCCAACAAGACCGCGTCGGAGGGAGGCACCACGCGAGCCGACTCACATGATCGTTCTTTAGCAATTGGGAAAAGGTAGCGTCTCTCAGAGGACTGGGTAAGCAAGCTCTAAGCGCTTCTCTCGCTCTGCGCGTGACGGGTCGTCGCATCATCAGCCATGAGCCACGAGCCATCTGGCGAACTTTTCACCGTTGGATGACACGGCGAGTGGTCCACTCACCTAGGGTTGTCGCTTAGTCGAAGGTAGCATCTGACGACGTGTTTGAGCAACCTGACGGCCTGCGATTCGGTGATCTGGCTGACCATGTTGCTCAGCACCGTCCCCACCGCGTAAAACCTCTCGTACGTCTGACAAATATAATTCAAACCCATATCGTCTAGCAAAATCTTTTGCACGATGAAAATCGCCACCGTCTTGCTGAGCTCGCTGCCCGTCTCCATGATGCGGAGACAGAGAGGTATGATCTCGGTGGAGAGGAGAAAGGTGATCACGTCGCTGTTGTCGTTTTGCTTTACCAGAGCTCCGATCACGCCGAGAGAGGTGAGTCGAAGATATTCAAAGGGTCGAGTTTTGGAGGTGGTGTTGAGGAAAGGGTAGAGGAAGAGGGGAATGTGCGCTGTGGAGAGAGAGAGAGAGAGAGAGGAAGAGAGAAAGGGAAAGACAAATGTCAGCTGATCTGACGCTCACGCGTGTCTTTACCCTCGCGTCCCGCTACCAACACGTCAAGCCAGCTCTCACCTTGCAAGAACAACGCTCTCGTCTCTCCATGACTAGCGACGCACTGAAGCAAGGCCAGCGCATTGCACACCCTATTGCTCGCTCCCGCACTGAGCGCCGGAGGACTGAGCAGGGGATACACCGCCACAATCTCTTGCAGCAAGCTAGACATGACGCCAAAAGAGTGCCACAACACCAAAGCCAAATCTTCGTACTGCTCTCTCTTTTTCGAAAGCTCCAACAGTGCGTGTTCTCGAGCTTGAGAGGAACCCGGCACCAAGTCGGAGAGAGATACGTTGGTGTTGCCGTTGTTGCTGCTTGACCCTGAACCAGAGGCGGGTGTGGAGGTGGTGATTGCCACCTGATCCGTGCCTGCTCCTGCTCCTGCTCCTTCGCTCTCTGGCTTTTCTCCCTGTTGCTGTTGCTGTGTGGGCGAATTCTCTCCACTCGGCATTCGCGCAGTGCCATTTCCACTCCCAACAGCAGCGCCAGCAGCGTTACCGGCAGCACCAGCTCCACCCTTCTCTTTCATTTCATCCGCAGCAGGTCTTTGGCAGAGCTGGGTGATGAGGTGATAGACGCTCAGTGCCGTGGTGGGCGTTCCGCCGGGTCCTGTACCAGCAGGGATAGCAGGACCTGAAGAGGGAGGCGGACCAGCAGCGCTAAGCATGGATGGGTTCAGATCCATACCGGCCAAAGAACCTCCTTGAGATGTTGTGCTCGTACCTGCAACCGCACCCGCACCCGCACCGGCAGCCGCGCCTGATGAGCTGGCACCCGTCGCTCCCGATACACCCGAGGGGGGTCCTGTGCCGCTCATCATCTACACAAGCAAATTCGCGACGGACGGGTAATGAGGCATATGTGTGAATGGAGGCAGCCAAGAATCCTCACGAGCCCGGTTTGCTGCGCTCCGCTCTGATCGCTGTGATCGGCACCGCGCGTCAGAGCAGGGAAGTGCAGATTGAGCGCAAGAGCGAGGCTTGAGGAAGGGAGAGGTGAGGTGTGTGCAGCAAGCAAGCGAGCAGAGAAGCTGGTGTCGGACCGAAAAGGGGCAAAACTGCTTGTGCTTGTGCTTGTGCTTGTGCTTGTGCTTGTGCTTGTGCTTGTGCTTGTGCTTGTGCTTGCGCTTGCGCTTGTGCTTGTGCTTGCGCCGTCGCTCTTGCCGTCTGCGAGCACGCTGCGTACAGCAAAGTTGGCAAGTGGGGGCGGAGAAGGGGGGGCGTGTGAATGCTGAGAGCTGAGCTTGTCGAACGTCACGCGTGTAGGATGCGCCTGCTGGTGGCTTGATTGCTCCTTTCGCGCGCGCGCGCACCCGCGTGTGGTGAAGGAGGATGAGGCTAAAGCGATGGCAGGCAGGAGGGTCCGCTGCAGGTGAGAGGTGGGGAGGCTTCGCAGTGAGCGGCAGAGTCACGAGTGAGGGAGAGTTGTGATGTGTGATGTGTGATGTGTGATGTGAGCGGACAGCAGGGCAGGGCAGGGCAGGCATGCAGCAGCAGCAGCAGCAGCAGGGGGCTTGAGCTCAATCGAACACATGGAGCGCCGCGCCGCATACATCCATTCACGATTCATTCATTTGGCATGGAGCGTGTTACCGTGCGAGAAGTCAGCAGCGCTGGGCGGAGGGGTTGCGTTGCGTGCTCGAGCCATGATGCAGGCTTGCGCGGGCGTCCACCAGCGGCCTAGTCACGAGTGTGAGTCAATGAGTGCATACAGGCAGGCAGGCATGCGCTCCTCCTTTCCTTCTCGTCTTGCACCCCTGCTGTACATCGACATGGTTGCGGACCGCGATCCGATCCTCGCTCTCACTCTCTATCAAGCTGACTGTTCGCAGTGACAAGCCAGTCGAGCCTCGAGTCGCTCCTCGAGAGTGACCTGAGTCGCAATGTCTCTGGCCAACGGTGCGCACCCGGCAGGAGCAGGACCAGGTCAAGATGATGCTCTGGTACAGCTTCTCCTCTCTTCTTCCTCCTCCTCCTCCTCAAGCACTTTCGATCTCTTCCCTTCTTCCAAATCTGTGGCGTACCTAACAAGCCTGACAACCCAACCGCTAGAGCAACTGCAACAGTCGCCCTCCGCATTGCATTCCACCCTCACAGCATTGGATCAACAACTGTCCAACCTGTGTTTGCATCAAGTGCCCGCCTTCGTCACTCTACGCTCCGCATCGGACTCGGTGCAGAGGTGCAGTCAGACGATGCATCGATCCACGGAAGATCTGTTAAATGCATCTCTGCCCCAATTGGAAAGGAGAGCGTTGGATTTCAAGAGTGCGACGGAAGGGGCAGTGCAGCATAGAAGACGAGCCAGGAACATTAGCAGATCTTTCGATCGTCGATTGAGAAATTTGCTCGAGGCTGCTCCATTGGTGGAGAGCTGCATCAAGGCTGGTTTGAACCAGGAAGCCATCGCGCTGGTTGGCAAGGTGCAAGAGTTGGCCGAGGAGGAGACGTGGGGAAGAGGAAATGTGTTGAGGACGTTGCATGAGGAGAGCTACGAGAGGCTGTATGCGCTGCACGAATCATTGATGCACGCGCTCGCCAGTCCCAGTCTGAGACTGCCAGCTGCAAAGAGCACCCTCGCCTCCTTTCGACATCTCGCGCAGCTCTCCCCGCCCATCCCTGCGCAGCATGCTCGCACAAAGCATCATCCTCACCAACTGAACTCAAACTCTTCTCAACGAAATCTTCGAACGCCCCTTCAATCTCTCGATCTGCATTTTCTACGTGCCAGATCCGCATCGCTGGATCGCGCTCTACAGACTGCGAGCAGCACGCGCTCTTGGGTCTCCATCTGGCGCGAACAGACGCTAGAGACTCTTTCCCTTCAAACGTCCCTCTTTCCTCTTCAATCTCAGCTCACTTCCTCTTACCTCTCGCACCAACTGGTCAAGCTGGTGCAACATCTCGAAACACTACCAGATAGAGCCAAAAGATCCGTCAAAACCAGTGCTGATGCTGCTTCCGGCTCTGGTTCGGGTGCCGGTGATGCGCTGCAAAAATCATCAGCCTCAAAGGATAAACAAGACACCAAGGACTTTGTTGCTAGTCTGGCAGCGCTACATACGCTCCTCGGCTTTGTGGATGCAGGTCTTAGAAACTTTTCCGCTTCTCTTCCTCCTCGCGTATCGGAGATTCTGCAAAGCACAGCCACATCTCTTTTCGAAGCTCAACTATCAACACCCGATCAAGTTCCGGACTCTGCAAAATCACAAATTTGGATGCGAGATCTCGAAGAGGTGTGCGCGCTATCGAGCATAGACATGGCTAGCCTCTTTAGCGGACACAAGGAAGCAAAAGTGTCGATCTTGTACGAACCTATCAAACGTGCGCTGGATACTTTGCGCATCTTTGCGCCGAAGGAATGTCGCGTCGCTCTTTCTGGATGTCTGAGAAGACACCTGGAAAGGAGGTTGAAGGCGAGATTGGAGCGCGTCGTCGATTCTTCGAGCAGCTACGCGGTCGGACAGATCTTCCCGCTCAAATTGCATGTCGAACAGGAGGGGAGATTGGACGAGACGATGCTGGAGTCGCAAGAAGCGCAGGTCGGTCCTGAAGAGCTTACGGGAGAGCAAGAGCGAGAGAGAAGGCTCAGAGGTACAAAGGTCCTTTTGAGCTCCAGATTGAGCGCGGATTTGATCCTTGTTGATTGGTCCATCAGAGCGCTACACCAAGACATCTTTGGCCAGTCAGCTTCTTCGTCGACCTTTCCACGAGCCGCTGCGGTGGGCGACGATGCGTTGGAAGAGATAATAGCGAGGATAGAGGAATGGATAATAAAGACGCGCGAGGAATGGACGGAGGGAGAGCAAGGCTTGAGAGGAAGAGTGAGGGAGGAGAGAGGACGTAGAATGAGGGAAGAGGAGAGAGTGCGCAAAGAGGAAGAGGAGAGGCTAAGACGGGAGACGGAGGAGGAGAGGGCGCGCAAGGAGATGGAAGAGGAGCGCAGACGGAAAGTCGAAGAGAAGAGGCGCGAGGAGGCGGAAGAGAGAGCAAGGAGGGAGGAGGAAGAGAAAGCTGGACGCGAGCAAGAGGAGAAGCGCAGACGAGAGGAGGAGGAAAGGATCAGAAGGGAGCAGGCAGAAAAGGCGCGAGAGGAAGAGAGATCACGCCGTGAAGAGGAAGAAAGGATCAAAAGAGAGGAGGAGGAAGAGAAGGAGCGAAAACAAGCGGAGCAGAGAGTACAGCTCGAAGAGGAGGAGAGGATCAAAAGAGCAGAGAAGGAAGAGAAGGCAAGAAAAGAAGAAGAAGAGAAGAGGCTGCGAGAAACAGAAGAGAAGATGAAGAAGGAGCAAGAAGAGGAGGCCGAGCGAGAGCGCGCACGTGTGCAGGCCGAAGCGCAAGAAGACCGAAGATTAAAGTCTGGAAAGGCGCTCAGAGAAGAGGAGGAAGGGGAACGTGCTGCGGAAGAAGCCAGACGGGAGCAAGGCGGGGAAGATGCCAAGGGAGCGAGGGAAGTAGGGGCAGAACCTGCTGGCGCGCAGACACGGGCCAAGGACGAGCGTGGAGCACCTGAACAGGCAGGCAAAGCGGTTCAGGAATTGCAAAAAGGCTCGAATTTGCCAGAGGATGGTTCGATCGAGACGTCGCCTTTGTCGAGCATCGCATCGATTGTACAGGACAGCGCGAAGGAGGATAGCGCCAAGGCTTCTGCAGAGCTTCGACTCGACAAGACGGATTCTTTCCCGGATAGTATCGATGCTACGCAAGAAGGTGCTGCATCGGAGCCCAAGCCCGACTTGGCAAATGCAGAGATCTCAGCAGCGGCGCGTGCCGAGCCCCAAGCGGAAGGAGTCGAAGAAGAGCTGAAAATTCGAGAAAGCAAAGTAGACTCTGTTCAGACGAACCTTGCTGAAGAAATGACTGCCAGCTCCGATCCCGATCCCGCTTCCACTTCCACCTCTACCCCGTCTGCGTCCGAGCACGTGTCCGTCCAGCCACAAGCTACATCCAGCATGAGCATATCGCCCAGCACCAGCGCAAATGCAAACGCAAATGCGACTGCGAGTGCGTCCTCACGAAGACCTACCCTGGCAGAGAAGCTCAAGATGAGGCAGGAGGAGAGGGAGAGAAAAAAGGGGGCAAGCTAAAAGAGGCTTCCTTCTTCGAATTGAGCTTCGCTCGACCCTCATCCGCTCGAGATTTTCGCATCCATTGATGCGTCGAATCCTTCTTGTCGGCTCCTTAGACCGTGCGCTCCACGACGCTGCCCTTTCCCAACTTCATGCGGCTCCTCCCTGCACTTGTACACAATATCACAGACCTGTTTTTTTTTTTTCGCAATCAGAAAGCACTCGCTAGCATTGCCCTCAAAAAAGATTAATCTGGTGTTTTGGATCATTTCTAGATTGTTTCGACTATCACATTCACCATGTCAGTGCAGCCCATCGGCGTACTCCTGTTTGAACGAGGGTCTTTGCTTGAGAGCTTGCCAGTAAGCTGTCACCTGCAAAATCCCAACCAGGGGGGCGGCAGGAAATGAAAGTGAGACACGAGCACGCCGAAAGGGGCACGCGGCTCGATGACGTGCAACGCACCTTGGGGCCAACAGCAGCGTTGGTGACTTTGGCAGCGATAGCTGGGTGCTTGAAAGCTGCGTCCACGGCAAGAATTTCGTCCCCTTTGGGAGCAAGGGGCAAGCCCTGAGCTACTTGAAAGATTCTAGCTAGATATGCCATCAGATGAATATCAGCCAGGGCGATCTGGTCACCGAGCGCCAAAGGTCCGACCAGTCGCTCTTCTAAAGTGGACAACACCTTCGCAAGACCAACCCAGAGGTTGATGGATTGCTCGATGAACGCCTTCTGAGCTGTCGAATCTCCAGCGATGAATGTGTTGTAGAGCGGCGCATCCGCCAGCAACCTTTCATCGTACCACTGCTCAGAGCGTTCGAAGCCGGCATAGTGGAGCACAGAGTGAGTCGCTGCTACTCCTTCCGGCGCATCAAGAAGTACTCACATTGAGCAATCGCTCGGTGATTGCCGAATCCCTCGGATTTGGACCTTTAGCTTGCGCAGCAGTCTCGGCTCGATAGGTTTTGAGAGCCTCGAAGCTGTCAACAGAGAAGCGAGCAAGACTCCATCAGCTTGGGGCCATGCACGCCTTGCAGCTTGACCCTTTGCTTACCGTCCCTTCACAAATGTCCCATGAAAGCCTTTGACAGCAGCTTCCAGCTCCTTCTCGTCCCTAACCGCGAGTAGCAGGCCGTTGGGATCGGCGTCGTCTTGGTGGACAAGCTGTGGGTAATATCAGAGAAGCTTAGCTGAGTACCGCTCATCGCATGCACGAGCAAGGCGACGTACAGCTATGAGAGCATCGCTGGCTGCCTTCCCTTCGATCGTCGCCGGTGCTAGCATCGGCGCGGGAGCAGTGCCAGTCTCTCCACGCGCATCCAGAATCTGCTGAGACCTTGACGAGTCTGCAAAGCGCAGTAGCAAGGAAGCTGAGGCGACTGAGCACGAGCTGCAGACGCTTGGTCAAGAGCGCTTACGCACCCAAAAATTCCAGCACCGCGACGCTATCGTTGAGCGCTCTGAATTTCGTGTCCACCTCTGCGCTCGTCGTGTCCGCCAATGGCACGACCAAGCTGGGCACCGTGGCATTGGGGTTGATGCGCAAATAGGCTGGCGCAAAGTTCTCTCCCTTTGGAAGCACTACCGAGCGCAGATCTACGTCGTCTGGCGCATAACCTTTCTCAACGAGGCCGATGGTCGCTGTGCGGAAATGTCCCAAGCAAACAAGCAGCGTGAGCCTCGGAGACCGTCTCACATGCAGGTCGCCCTTGCCATACTCACCCACTGCTCCCCACACCGAAGCTAATGGGAGATGACGATGAGGTGAGGCTATTGCTGCTGCTGATATGGACCAGAACGAAGGTGTCCAACTTACCTTTGAAGGTGTACAGGTTAGCCTTTGGCACGTTGTTGGGCGAGGTAGAGGTGGACGCCATGTTGTGGGACTTGCGAGTCGTGGAAGAACGAATGTGTTAGCTGAGCGTATGCGCTCGCAACGAGGGAGGTGTTGTGATGGTGATGATGGCTGAAGGGGAAAGAGCGCAATCAAGTACAGACGGTCCCCCGAGCGCATGTATGCGATCGTACAAGCCAAGTCTACATGGCTGACCGCATCGGAACGAAGCAGACACATATGTGATGCATGCGCCCTCATCACCTTCTTGCTGCTGTTCTCGATCGATGTTGCTGTGCCTGCACATGCTGGCTGCTGATGTGGGGAACCATGCACCAACACAGCCCGCTTCCCGCGGGCGGCAGATTTTACTCGGCGGCGCGCGCGTGCATGTCATATTCGGAGACAACGCGGCGAATATATGGACGTATCCCCATTTCGCCGTACGGCAAATTTGAATTCCGCCGTATTTTTGAAATAGCACTTATGAGTCAACATAATATACAGTAGGCCGTATTCAACATCGCGCGCGCGTGAGCGTCATTAGCAAGTTAAATGCGAATTGGCTTTGCAGATTACAGTTTTGACTGCGCGCGCACGCGGTGTGATCAAGCCAATACAAATCTAGCTGGTCTCCGAGATCACAACAGGTGCGCAGAAGGCAGAGCTAGGAACGGCTGCATGTGCCGCAAAGCGGTCTCGATGCATCTCCGAATCAAATTCACCGGAGCGGGCAGCGATGTGCTCCGTGCGAGCATCACGTGACCTGTCTCTACTGACCATCCAGCGCATCCAGAGGCGGGGTACGGCATCACGACGATCTGAGTCGAGTCGGTGGTCAAAGTGAGTCTTGAGTCTAAAGTCATCATCCCAAGAGTCGTGAGTCATGTTTGATCAGGCCAGGATATCAGCGTCCAGGATTGGGCCGCCTGATTCTTCTACACATCCCTGAAGCCTTCCGAGTCATGACCATCAGTGCATGCGATCAGGCTAATTTCAAGTGATCGGTCGAGGGTCGAGCGAAAGGATTGATTGGTGTCATACGCAGCAAGTAAGCCTCATCCATGATCGAATCAACGTAGATGGAGCATTCAAACCCGTATCGCTCGCTGCTTTGACTCCATCAGCCTCACGTCGTCGACACCGCCACTCTCTCTGTTCGACGCTATCTAGAGGTGGCGCACCTGTGGCTCACTGCACAACAAGACACTCACACCGCTGACGTCCTTGCAGATCTCAACGCTGCCTCACTTGTGACGGTCCCAGGGATTTGATTGAAGTGCAGGAACACACTGTACATGGCCGCAAGGTTCGGCCCACTGTTGAGATGTCCTTCACTCGTCAAGCCCATGCCGGCGCTCAGCCAGTGCATGGGCCTTTCAGATCCCGCCGCCAGGGCGTTGTTGTTGATTGCGCCAAGGTCATTGTGGCTGGTTGGCGCAGCCCTATACGAGTGTGCGTTGCATCTAGTAGGCATGCGGACGGCAAGAGGCTTCTTGACTGTGACGCAACTCGAGCTCGTTGGCGTCAAAGCCGGCGGCCTCCATTTTGCCACTGCGTCTGTCATTCGCAACAGATTGCCACCCCCGCCATTCATCGATCGACAAAGCAGCGCTCTACTGAATACAGAGAGATATCCGGGTATATTTACGGGATGTGTGGGGAAAGACGGTTTCTTCCTCATCCTGGCCTCACTCTTCGATTTGGACCTTGTCTCGGTGCCTGGCTTTCTCTTCTTGCGTTCACATTCTCTCATACCGCGGCACAGCTGGTCTGTGTCTCCTTTTCCGTGCGATATCCACTTGACAGACGAGTCAGCAGGTCTGTTGGCTCAGCGACGAGCCCTGCTCACGAGCGCCTCTCGCTCATTGCGCACCTTCTTCGAAGACTTTTGGCCCATTCACCCGCTTCCATCCAGTGCTGAACTATGCAGACTCTGTTGCAAGCTAGCGAGGTGCCCAAAGCGCTGGGCGCGCTTCTCCTTGTCTCCATCATGAGCACGGCTCGTCCGACGCTCCCTTGCAACCATGTCGGGCGCATTGCTCAAGTTCACAACGACGTCGACTGGATGTCCCTTCTTTCTGGCACGACGATTCTCCATCGGCGAGCTCCGCTAGCTTCGGCGGGGGAATTGACGGGAGCCGAACTGGAAAGAGCTCTGCTGTCTGGCGCATCGTCCAGCTCGAGCTTTTCGCGAGCTTCGAAAGCCAAATTGCCGAGCCCGACCTCCTCTGACGGAGCTTCGAGCGAAGGGGTCCTGTCCAGACCGCCTGAAGCGACGCCGCCCACATCGCCCGAGCTGGACTCTTTAGCTTTGCCGTTGGCGAGGAAGAGAAAGGCGGCAAAGTATAGCGCCGCGCGAAATAGGAGGGTGAAAGAGCGCGAGAGAATGAGAAAGAGTGGCAAGAGCGAGATGGAGGTGTGGACGGCGGTGCCTGGAAATCCTCGACATGCCAATGCTCAGGTCGTATCGAAGCTCTTGTCAGAGATCCAAGCGGCCGGTGCCGATAAGAGCAAATTTTTTCCCGAGACGTCGCGCGAGCAACGCAAGGCGCAGGTTGGCAGATCCAAAGTACGATCGAAGCTGCTGCAAGCCGGATGGCCTCGCGAAAAACTTTGGGAAAAGGTTCCGGGCGTGCAGAGAAGTTTCAGTTCGAATGTGGGACGGCCGCGAGTGAGGCCCGTGGCCGATGCAGAAGGCCAATCGTCAACGCCGAAGCGCAGGCGGACACGAATAGGCACAACTTTCGGAACCAACGAAGACCTGGAGGAGCAGCTGGAAGCTCTCCGACGTCAAGCTGATGGAGAGGACGTTTTGCAGCTCGGACGCAAGAAAATGGCATTCAAGGCGCCAAAGTACGAGCCTATTCTGGAGACGTCATCAGTTAGAAAGGGTTTGACGCCAGCGCAGCAGAGAGAGCTGAAGAATACCAATCAGGCACTAAGCGCGGCCATTGGAAAGAACGTCAGAGCACCGAACAAGGCTGCTCCTCAGCCCAACAAGCCACCCCTACCATTCGATCTCAATCGGAGTCCAGCAAGAAGTCCCTAATAGGCTTCTATGCACGCCATCGCATCAACCTGTCACTGCTTCCACGTGACATTTGCAACGGCGCTCCAAAAGTCTCTCGGCGCATCACCGAGGCTCCTTTCAGCCAAGATGCCTTGCTGAAAGGTTCCATGGTGTTGCGGACCTTCCTCAAGACTTCGTGTGGCTGTGGCCGATTGTGGCCAAAATCGCAGAGCCGTCGTTGCGCACTTCCCGCGACGGGCTGCGTCTATCAAAGAATCGTGCATCCGAGGTCGAGCAAGAGGAAACCTAAACGAAGCGCCGTTGGGCTCGCTGCAGCATTTCCGCTCCGTGCTCGTATGGACGGGCCAGCAAGCAAGGCGATGCACCTAGATGCTCGCAATTGCTTTTCGCAACCCTCCTTTTGTCACGCCCTTTCAAGCTGCTTCTCGAGCTAGATGGATGCATTCACAAGTGCTTCGGCTACTAGCTCGAACGAATGCTGCATGCGTACTTGCCACTTTGCTAGCGCGCTGCTCACACCTCTGCCCGCCTCTGACTGATGACTGCTGTGAGGACTAGCTGGCCTGCTGCATCGAGCGTTGTGAGCGTTGGCATCAGTCCAGCAGAGGGGCGCCCTCTGGACAAGAACCACGTGTGATCAGACCACGCACAGATGCGTAGGGATGGTCGACTCTAGTCGTCATCGCTGCAGGTAAATGATCAGCAACGAGCCTCGCGCAGCACTTGATGAGAAGCAGGCAAGCTGTGAGAGCGAAGAGACGAGCGAAGAGAATGAAAAGAATGGAAGGAAGCGTGGGAAAAGCGCAGATACGACCGGAATGCAGGAACGTGGAAAAGGACGTTTTCTTTTTAGCGTTGCGCGCATCCCAATCAAGCCACAAATTGCCGTTGACAGCATATGCAGCCATGCATCAACATAGAGGCGCATGCAGATAGATGTGCATGGAAATGTGCTGCTGGTCAAAGTGTTTTTGAGTGCGTGTATGAGTCAAGTATGCACAGCAGCTATAGCAAGCAGCAGGGCACGGCTGGCTGGCTGGCTCTCTCTCGCCGAGCATGGCTCACCGATGCTTGACATTTGCATTTGCACACCTTCCAAGCCTCGGGCTGATGGCACGTCTTGCTCACCCCCACTTCGATCGAAGATTCTGACTCGCCGCGCGCGCGGGGGGGCTTATTGCTGTCGGGATGCATGCTGGCAGCCAACCAGCGCAGCGCTTCGCGATTCGAGGGTGCGCGCCATGTCTTAGTGTGGGACGCGAGCGGCTTCAACCGCGGTGCGCCATGGCTTTTACCCTGCTGAGAGCCTGAGACAACCACCTCGTGTGTCTAGGCAGAGTATAGATTTGTGAGTAGTAATGTGAGCGTCAGTGCAGCCACATCAGCTGTGGGCCAGCGGTCAGCAGTCTGTGAGTCAGCAGAAGAGAGATTCGTGCTGGGATGCGCGTGTGGTGGTGGAGGAAGCTGAATTGCAGCGCATCACGCATGCATGCATGCCGGTCCCGAGCAAGATCGCGAGCGGCCGAATGCGTCCAAAAATCGCGTGCGGAGCTAATTTTGAGTGAACTAAAAGGAAGACTGTGACTTTGGTCTCCTTCCCGCGAGACATTCATCACTGGTGACTTCTGTGAACATGCGCGTCACTCTCTAGCTGGCTGGCTGGCTGATCGTGCCTCGATCGACCGTCGTTGCGGCACATGGTCACATTTGAATTGTCCCGCTGCCCTCAGTCGCGAGTCGTCATCCAATTGAAGAGCAGCGGGGAGCGAAATTCGAGCCCCGCTGAGCCCAGATTACGGTACGCTCGTAAACTGCGCACAAATATACGCCTGCTTGTTGGTACACTCAGCAGCAGCGTCTCAGACCGCCTGCAAGCCTCACTCGGACATCGAGCGAGGAGAGAAGCAGCGGAGAGACCTGCATGGATCGGAACGGATCAAAGCAGAAAAAGGCCCGCTCAGTCGTGAGTCCATTTCAGTGTGAGTATCAGCATCAGCATCAGCATCAGCATCAGCATCAGCATCAGCATCAGCATCAGCATCAGCATCAGCATCAGCATCAGCATCAGCCATAGCAGAGCGCCAGCATCCAGCTTTTCCCGACCGCAGCTGCATATATGCTGCACATCGGTCGACCGCGTATGCCGGCACCTCGGACCTTGATGTGAGATGTGAGACAAAGTCGTTTGTGAGTTTGTGACACATGATGCAGAGCATCCGCATTCTCGAAGTCAGCTAGGACTCAAATCGTGGGGCTTTGTCGAGTCGACGCCCCATGCATGGCATGCACGCATCTCCGCGCAAATTCCACGTGAGACCCATGCAGAGCCTGGTCAGCTAGAGCCATGTCTCAGGTGGAGCAGAAAGGAGAGACAAGGCTGGCCCTCTCGCAGCGTGGGTGTATGACTGATGCAGCCCTGCTGCACGCATCAGCAAACCAGCACACCTCCTCCCCTGTCCTTTGTTTGAACCACTTCACTGCTTGCTTGTTCCCTTGCTTGCTAATTGCTTGCTTGCTTGCTTGCTTGACGGATCCGAATCGATATCGGACCACAGGAACGGCACGCATGGAGCGTTGGTTGGGTGAGTCGGAGGACAGCGTCTGGCATAGCTGTGGAGTCTGTTTACGACACCGGGGTAATTCATTGTGGCTAGACGGGATGGGACAAGCCTGGCCCACTCCAACTTTCTGCGGGAGAAATTTGTGCCTCTGCTGCGAGGCCATCCATTCACATTCCCGCGGCATCTTTGCGCAAGGCTTGCTTTTGCTGCAGCTACTACATCCCGCGACGATGGATTTGGTCTTGCTCCCGAAGGACAAATCGAGATTCTACGCGACTGCGGGCCTTGCGAGTCACAATAACACACCGACATTCGTGACTGATGCATCCGAGTGGCCCCTCGGTCAAAATGTGGCTTTCCATGCATCTCCTTCCCGATGTCCATCAGTCGCTCAACAACGCTCAAGCGCATGCCTTCGCCTCTGCGCACAGACCTTTGCTCGTCACCTGATTGGGGCGCACCGCTTCGTATAAGAGAATCGCCAAGGCTTGTGCATCATTTCCAACGCCTCTCCTTGTCACCCTTCCCCGCTTCATCTCCCTCTCCCTCTCCCTCTCTTTCTTTCAGAGCTCCTCTCGACGCGCTGATTCTCAGCTTGCCGCTTCTCAAACACATCACTTTCGTCGAAGAGGGACGACCACCACCATCCAACATGGCAAGACCAGCCATGCACCTGACTTTTGGTCAGACCGATCGGGAATTGTTCGCTCAGGCGATGCAAGGCGATCTCATCTTCTGGCATTTGCCCAAGGACGTTGCGGTCTCTTTTCAAGTGCTGCAGCAGCTCTTTGCCGCTTTCTTGGGCATGGTGCTGTGGGATCTGATAAGCGCCTTGCCTTTTGACCTGTCGCTATTGCGCGAGGCAGGGTGGAAGAATCGAGTGAAGCTCACCAGCCGTTTGGCATATCTCACCTGCCGCATACTCTCGCCTGCCGTGCTCACCCTCATCCTGGTCTACATTTCCGCTCCCGTGGGTCGAGAGTTGGGCCAAGATGCGTGCGCAACTTATGCGCGCACTTTCAACGTGCTGCTCGTTCCGCTGGCCAACGCGGTGCCTCTTGTCTTCATCATGCGCACGCTGAGCCTCTACGAGTGGCAGCGACGCGTGGCCATGCCTGTCCTAGGCCTCTGGGGCATCGTGTTGGTGCTGAGCTGCGTCAGCCTGCCATACTACGGCAAGGGTCTGGACATTCCAGATGGCAGCGGATGGTGCCACTACGACACCCAACGCAAGCTGCGCACCGTATACAATGTTGCTTACAAGGTGCCGGCGCTCCTCCAAGACGTGGTCATCATGCTTTTGACCCTGCACAGACTCTTGCAAGGCGGTCTGCAGAGCCTCTTGAGACCGTCTGGCTGGAAACGCTTCGGCATGACCTCGCTCTCCAAGGTGCTCATCGCACAAGGTTTCCGCTTCTTTGTCCTCAACATCGTCGTCGACGTCATCTTCATCTTCTTCTACTTTCACTGGCCCGCGCACTTGGTCAGCTACCAAGTGGCAGGCGCCGCTCTGCTCTTCTCCGTGCCTCCCATGCTGGCCGGAAAGGTTTTCAGAGATTCGAAGCGCGTCATCGTCAAGGCGCAGCTGGAAGAGATGGCGCGCAATCAGAGAAGCGCCGGCCCAGCATCCTCCGATGACAGGTATTCCGCACGCACTCGCCAATACCGAGCAGGTGCTCTGGGCTACCTCAACACCTCATCCGACCACGTCGGTCTCAGCAGTGGGAACGCCACAGATCGCGATGACGAATACTCGCGAGCTGCGAATCAGATCAACATTCTGCCCTACAGCCAAGCAGACTTGGTCTCTTCGCCCGTTCAGCGGACACCAGCTCCAGCATACGCTTCACCACTCTCCCCATCCGGATCTGACGGCAGCATGAAAATGGAAGAGGACTACCTCAACGCCAAGCGCCGCACACCAAGCGAAGGCGGCAGATCACCAAGGCTGCCGGACACGGACAGCTTTGCACCGGCAAACGACGCTCACTTGACGTTGCCACCGATTCCTGCGAGATCCCACAGCATGGACTTGCGATATCCCCCTGTGCGTAGCCGCCGACGAGGTTCGAGCGATAGTCGACTACCGGTGGGCTTGGCAATCTCGTGCGAAGACATCGAGTCGTCCAGACGCTGCAGCTCGTACCGCAAGCCCGTATGCTTTCCAAGCTCGCCCCGCTCGATCGATGAAAGACCATTTAGTCAAGCGGCACAAATCTCCCACGGCGGGTCCATCACTCGATCTATCGGGTCGAGAAGAGGCACCGACAGGTCTGCTAGTCAACAGTCCGAAGCGAGCTCTAGCAGACATGCATGCAGCAGCACCAGCAACGTGAGCCGCAAGAGTCACGGTGGTCGAGCAAGTCTTGCGCGTCGTGTCAAGGGTCGATCCAGCTTTGGAGTGAGCATCGACTCGGACGAGGAAGCGTTTGGCATGCTTGATGGTAGGAGTGCGGTTCAGACCGCCACCAGCCAAGAGCTTGCTTCCGCCTCTACCAACCTTGCGACTCTGAGAAGCCGCAGCGCACCAAGCTCACCCGCTTCGGCCGTCTCCGCCCTCCACTGCACTTCACCTCCTGCAATGTCGGCGTGCGATGCCATCGTGGGCTCTCCCCAGCAGCGGCAGCGGCAGCATCGTAGTCACGAAGATGAGGAAGAGGAGGAGGAGGAGGAGCAAGATGTGGGAGAGGCTATTTCTGATTCGGAAACGGAAGCTGTAGGAACGTTTACGCGGATGCACATCCTTCCCACTCACTCTCTCGACTCGGCACGACGCTCCGATCATCGCACTCCGCACGCTCTTTGATCTTTTTGTTTTCGGGGGAAAACCTTCTTTCTGCCGCAATGACGTAGAACTTTTCCACATTTCGATGATGCTTGTTCTCTTTTTCGTTTTCTTGAATCTCGTGTTCATGAGAGGTGAGAGGGCTTTTTTTGAGTAGGTGCTCATTAGTCACGACGAGTCAGGAGTGCGCTGAAGCTGCGCCTGCACGCCAGCAGCAGAGCAAGTTTTGAATGGGGTGCTGAGTTTTAAAGCCTAGGACACACGCACACAACGCACACAACCCACTCACTCGCGCGCTCACGAGTCTAAGTGGCGATCGTGTGAAGCGAGGCGTGGGAGTGCGATGCTGTGATCGATGTACGAAGCGCCAAAGCAGATCATCAACGGCGGGCAGCAGGCGCGCGGCAAGAACGCCGATCTATATGATGTACGGTTCGGTTCGCGCGGTGCGTGCTGCTGTAGCCTGCTTGCACGCGCCCCTCCGCGCCGTCTTCCGGCGAGCTAGCTAGGCCGGGCAGCAGCAGGATTGTTGCGAGCAACCGCACAGCACCACGCAGCACCGCATCGCCGGTCAATGATCGAGGCAGCTGTACCGGTAGCGCATACTTGATGCGATGGATGCTGCAAGGTCGATCGATGATTGAACTTACAACTCTGCCTTTTCTTGACCTCCATTCGGTGATTCGATTCGACTGCACCAAATCATCCCACCGACTCGGCCCGCGGGCAATCCATCCATCACGCGCAGCTAGGCGAGGCAGGCCGCTAGTCACGAGTTGGTCGAACAGCGAGCGCGTCTTCGCCCATCAATCAAGGACTCTTGAACCCGCACTTTGCGAATCTCGCGAGGCCTTCATCACGCTCTTTACGCTCAAGCCCCGCAAGACCCTGGAATCTGCGCTCGCTCGCGATAAGCGCTTCAAATCAAGACCCTGCGCGCTGCACCCCCCTCCCTCTGGCTGCTGCTGATCGCGCAGGTCTGCTGCCCTCTGCGAACACCTCACCACTGCTTCACCGGCATTCCCCCATTCCGCCTGCCTGCCAAGCAAAGAGTTGATACGGAATGGTGCAGGCTGCCATGAATCACGACATCACCTCGACGACCGGTGAGGCGAGAGCAAAAGCGGAGATGGACGGCACGCGAGATGCGACGCTTTTCGTTGCAGGCTTCGAGGGGTCGAGAGACGAGCACGCTGCGCATACCAAGCCGGTCTTGGCAGACGAGGATGAGCACGACGGTCCAAGCATCACGAAAAGTCCTGTAGCGAATGGGGAACATCGAGCGCGAGAGACGGCCAACGTGGCAGTGGATGAGGAGGATACTTTGGATGGCGTCGCTGCAGCGGACGAGCTGCACGGCGACCCTCTCGACGGGCAGGCTCTTCCTGACAACCGTGTAGCGAATGCGATGCAAACCTCGCCCTTGGAGGATGGCACAGAGGAGTGTGCCTCAAACTCCGAGGGGCATACACACGAGGCATCGGAGCGCGCTGCCCAAGTCGATGTGCAAGTCGCAAATGTTGCAGCTCCCCAGCAGCTGAGGAATAGGAATAGCGGAGCGGAGCTGCAGGGCAATACGTCTGGCTCGCAAGGGGCATCCGAAGATGGGGGCAGAGCAGCTTCGACAGCTCAAGTCTTGCAGAGTGCAGCTGGCCAAGTCAGCTCATCGTCAGACAGCAGCAAGTCTCAGAGCGTAGACTCGTCTCACAAGCGAATGGAATCCGTCGTTCCTCAAAGATACGATTTGCCCGAGTTGTCGCCCTTCTCGATGCAAGCAGCCAGCGGCAGCGGCAGCGGTAGGAGCTTCAGGCGATCTTCCTTGGTAGACCTTCCTGGTGAGGGTGCTGACTCTCTAGCTGCAGAGGCAGAAGCGCAATACGCGTCCGTCCCATCTCCTACCTTTTCCTCTGCTAGCTATACGTACGCAGATGGCAGACCTCTAAGGCCCGTCTCTGGGCAGAGATCGAGGAGCATCAGGAACGCGGCAGGAGAAGCGAGACCTCGGAGCCGCACGTATTCAGAAGATGTGGAACCTGTTGGATTTGTAGATGTTGCGCTGGAAAGTCCTGCACCTGGAAGCGCGCTTGGATCGGCAAGTCACGATCAGCACATGATGCGGTCCCCATACGGAGCAGGCGTAGCCTTTGGCAGTCGATCCAGCGTCGAGATAAGGCAAGACTCTATAGCTAGTGGGAGTTCGGCAGCTCAAAGAGTTGCCGCGGCTGCAGCGCATCGAGATAGGATGCTGAAGAGAGCAATGAGCCAGGAAGGAGGGACGAGTCAAAGCAATAGCGAGAATGGCTCTCTGAGCTTGCGCTCCTCTTTTGCTTCGGGTCGCAGTGCCCCTGCTACCGGCAATGAAGAATCGAGAAACTCGTCGGAAAGCGTGAGGAGCTCTGCGACGGATCGCAAAATGGCGGGAGAGGGAAGGTATATGGGCAGAAGAAGCAGACCCAGCTCCAGAGCTGTGACCCCCACAGAGATGGAGAATGCAGCGGATCGTTACAGCTCATCATCACGTGGCGCTAGCCCTGTCCCTACGCAGCGAGGCTCTGCGACTTTCGACAGCTCGTTGGATCGATCATCTGCTGCGGCTGCGGGATTGGGTCATAGCTCAACCAAACCAGGCATCTCCATGATGGTCGCAGGCGAGGATGGCGAGATTTTGGAATACGTGGCAGAGGATCACCACGCGAGTGCTTCGAGAAAGTCCGACGAGGATCAGACGCGGCTTTCAGAAGTTTCGGCTATCCAAATGACTGCGATTTCGTTGGAAGAAGAGCAGAATGAGCGCAAAGAAGCGTCGGCAAGAATAGAGCCTCGGTCGGCTGGGAGTCCTACGATGCAGACGGCATCGCCAACCGGGCCTGACCAGGATCCCTCCGCAGTCGAGCGCAGGGAAGGCAGTTCGACTTCGTCCAGCGAAGACCCCACGTCCACCTCTGCTACTTCTGCTCCTGCTTCTGAAGTGGCTACCGCATCCACCGAGATCGATCGTGCGCCAGGTCTGAGGGACATCGCGGACTCTGAACCAGGCAAGAAAAATCGAAGAAAGTCAAACGGACCAAGTGCGCTTGAGCAGTACATGGTGCGTGCTCGTCGTGGCATGCAAAGTCTTGCAAGCGTGCTACTAATCGTTTCGAACTCGCTGCGACTAGTCTCGGACCCGTATGACCACCTTGCCGCCTAAAGAGCGCACAGAGGACGCAAAGCACCTGTCCGATTTCGAGCAAATGATGCGATCCTACAAACAGGCCGAAAAGAAGAAGTTGGAAGAGAATGAAGAGCGCAAGCGTCAAAAAGATGCTGAGCTAGCTAGCGCCCAAGCGGTTTGGACGCAGGAAATCCTACCATCCTGGACCAGGGCGCGACGAGAAAATAGGCTCAGAGCGATCTGGTGGAAAGGCGCTCCGCCGAATTTGAGAGGCAGAATTTGGGCCTTGGCATGCGGGAATGCGCAAATGCTGCCCAGAAACTTGTTCCAAGGCGCCTCGGCTGAAGCTCAAAAGGCGATCAAGGAAGGCAGGTTTCCCAAGGCGGATGCACAAGCCATCGAAGCTGATATCGCCAACACACTACCGAGCTTGAAGCTGTTCCAGCGAGATGTGGGGCCTCTGTACGACGATTTGAGAGATGTGAGTAGAGCAAAGCGTTTGGGAAGTCGTTCTCGACCCGGACTGACCCTTGCAGCCGAGCGTGCCGCTGCGCTCAGGTGTTGCAAGCATACGTCATGGTGCGACTCGATCAGCTTCGAGCGACGGCCGCTGTATCTTTGTCCGTCAGCGCACCCCTTCCTTTAGCCTACCAAGCCGGCGCATCATCCTTGGCCGCCATGCTCTTGTCAAACTTGTCGCCGACAGAGACGTTGGTTGCGCTGCTCAATTTGCTGGCTGAAAGGCCTTGGTTGAGAGCTCTTTATACGCCCATACCTAGTGGACCTGCACCCTCTGCGAGCCATATGCATTCCCAGACTCCTATCACGCCATCCTTCAGACAAGATGCAGCTGCTGGCTTTGAGTGAGTGAGCGCGCGCACCTTGCATTGTGGCGAGACTCTGGTGCTCACAAGTGGCCGGCGCTTCATCACATTCCTCGACGTCCCGCAGACGCGTCTTTGACACTCTGCTCGCTGACCAAATGCCGAAAGTGAGTGATTAGGGCACGTCCTGCATTGGCGATGGATGCGTCTACTCATGACTGATAAATGACGATTCCATCGCCTCACAAGGTCTACGCGAATATGCAAGCACGCGGCGTCAGGCCGAGCGCATACGTGCGAGATTGGGCTCGCACCCTCTTTGTTCCATTCTTGCCTTTTGATGCGGTGGCCCGACTATGGGACTGCATGTGAGCTGAGCAAATTCCGAGAGAGGCAGAGTGAGAAAAGGTGTCGCTGATGTAGACCGTTTCTTGCCCGTGTTTTGCTAGCTTGCTGGAGGAGGGCGATGCGCTCATTTTTCGAATTGGTCTAGCTATCGTCAAGCTGCTCTCTGCGAGACTATACGTCCCGGACAAGACAGAGGTAAGTTCTCACGAGGCCTCAAAACTAGCCTTTTTTGCTGATGCAAGACTTTCCCTCGTCCATCTCGGGCTGCAGCTCACGAGCATTCTTCGAGGAAATAATGCGGCTGCGTTACGAGTCTACTACCGTGATGCTGCCTTATCATCGCCCGGAGGTCTCTCTTCCGTCATGCCCTCGAGTGCAACTTCAGCGCACCTCTCGCTCGCCGTGGATGGTGTGAGCGAATATCAGACCGCACAGCTGCCAACTACACCCAGCACGGCAGGGAGCACAGCGATGCTGAGTCCAGCATCCACTTTGGCCCCCTCGAGCGCCGGAAGCACGGTGATTGCGGACGCTTCGTGGGTGCCGCGGGACAACATCTACGCGCAGTACGGTATCAACGAAGAGATGCTCTTTCAAGCGCTGGAAGAGCAAGACGAGTGGTGGAGGGATAGCACGCTGGAAAGATTGTTGGATCGCGAACTTGGTTAGGGGGGGGGGGGGGGAGGGGAACATTTGGGCGGAGCGAAGGGGGCCTCTATTGTCTTTTGTGTTCTGGATGATGCGTCATGCGCCCCCAGCGACCGCAATCGAACCTGGCCTAGCTTCGAGCTTTCTTCTAGGCTGCTTTTTGGGCTTTTACTTGCCACACCTCAATCCTTTTGTCGGTCCCGCTGCCCGCCCCGCTAAGCTCGATCTTTCATCGTGCGCACGTCAACACGCCCTTCTTCGCACCCTCTCGATGGAGGAATGGCAAGTTAATGGCATCAAGCCCCAGTTGAACGGGGGGGGGGGGGGGGCTGAGCTGAAATGTGCGACCGACGCTCCCATGTGTCCACGTGTGTGTGGGCCAAGCTAGAGAGGGAGAGAGAGCCCCCCACGCACGAAAAAGAGGGGGAGCTCGATCGGGAAGGTAAGAATAGCCTCGCTTCGAGGTGGCTTGTTCGAGTGATGAGTTCGTGACAGCTAGGAAACGCCCCTTTTCAGTCAAGGGGGAGGAGATGGAGGTGTGTGTGGCTTTTGAAACGCGAACTCTGACTTGGAACTGATCTTCTCGATGCGCCGCTTGTGGCTTTCGAGAGTGCTGCTGCTGCTGCTGCTGCTGCTGCAAGCCTGCACGTCGAAGGTGCATGCAGCGTGCAGCAGCAGGTGTTATTGCTGCGCGCGCTCGCCTGTGCGGCGCGGCGGGGGAGGTTGCGGAGCTTTCTTTTGGGAGGCGCACGTCCCCTTCCTCAATTGCCTTGCCTTGCGCGCCTAGGCTTTCGGGAAAGCATTCCATTCGCAATTTGACATGGATCGTTTGGAATGCATGGATGGTTGTTGGATGCGCGCAAGCTGCAACGCTCCTGAACTCGCAACTCGTGACTCGCAAGGGTCAGCGATGCACCACCACCACCCGTTTCTCTTGCGGCTCACAACAACGCCTTTCGAGGAGAAAAGGGGCGCACCTCGTCCACCTCGACACGCTCACCACGCACCACGCACCACGCACCACGCACCACGCACCACTCACGGTCCAGATCACAGAACTTGGACGAATCGTGATCGATCCGCCCGCTTCCATCCCCACATTCACCACTGCAGACAAGCATTTTCTGCCGCTTTTCCTTGCCTCCCTCGTCTTTTCCCCAATCGTGATCGCTCATACAACCCATCTCTCGGAGGGTCTGTGCAGCTACTACTTGGTCTTCTGCTCCCCCAATCCCGAGTGGGCGTGCCTTTAATTTCCTACCGATCCGAAGCTTCACCTTGACCCGCAACTCACGGCACCTCCGACTTCAAGCAAGCAAGCAAGCGAACCGCAAGCAAAAATGTCGGCAGGAGACGCAGCAGCGGTAGCCGCAGCCGCAGCGGCATCGACCAGCCAAGTGATTCCAGCATCTCAGCGTACGCATCCTCGAGTGCTCTGTCTCTTCGACGTGGATGGTACGCTGTCCCTAGCTCGTCAATCTGCCACGCCAGCCATGATCCTTTTGCTCTCCTCCTTGCGCAAACACGTCGTCACTGGATTTTTGGGCGGCTCGAACTTGGGAAAGATTATGGAACAGTTGAGATCGGATGCTTCTCCTGATCCGCTGCGAGCTTTCGATTGGGGTTTTGCGGAGAATGGCTTGACTGCTTTTAGGGATGGCAAGACGTTGGCTAGTCAGAGCTTTATCGAGTGGCTGGGAGAGGAAAAGTACAAGAAATTGGTAAGATTTGTGCTGAGGTACATTGCCGACCTTGATATTCCCATCATGAGGTGAGTGGGAGCTGAAGGGAGAGAGGGGGGGGGGGGGGGGGGGGGGGGGGGGGGGGGGGGGGGGGGGGGGGGGGGGGGGGGAGCGCACTATAGCGTGATCTAGAGCGAACCAAGCGGTGGATCGGATCTGGTGCTGGCGCAAGAAGAACGGGGGGGGGGGCGGCCGGCAAGAGAGTTTGGCGAAAGTGGCTCCAAAGATCGAGCGAGCGAGCTGCGGACTGGTGTGTGTTTGACAAGACGCTCTTTTTGACCGCACTGCACTCGCGCCGCATCGCTCACAGAGGCACATTCATCGAGTTCCGCAACGGCATGATCAACGTCAGTCCAATCGGTCGAGACTGTTCGTGAGTGGGGGTGGTGCTTGATTGTATGCGCTGTGCTCGGAAGAAGAACCTCTAGTGACGCGAGCCGGCCCCCTCGTGGCTCTATACCAGACTACCCGAACGTCTAGCTTTCCAAACGTACGACGATGAGCATCAGATTCGCTCAAAGTTTGTCGAGGTGCTGCAAAAGGAGTTTGCAGATTACGGATTGACATTTGCGATTGGGGGACAGATTTCCTTTGATATCTTCCCAAACGGCTGGGACAAGACGTATGCGCTCAGACACATCGATCCGAAAGAGTACGACGAGATTCATTTCTTTGGCGATAAGACGCACAAGGTGAGTTTGGCGCCCCCCTTCTTTTGCGCTGAGAAGGCGGGACACGGGAAGAGCAGAGCGGCGCACCGCAAGTGAAGGTCTGACTATTCATCTTGATCTCCCCCCCCCTTCTGCCTTGCCTTTTTGCTGCAAAAGGGCGGTAATGATCACGAGATTTTTGAGGATGCTAGGACTATCGGACATACGGTCAAGAACCCAGAGGATACGATGAGGCAGCTCAAGGAGCTGTTCGATGTTTAGAATGTGCTTTCCCTTCCTACAAATCCCATGCGATGGCTCGTTCGTTGGGTAGCATACCCTCCCTGCGCATGGGTCGACCAGGGGCAGGGCACACTTCATGCCACATGCAACTCTCGCCATGTGCTGCGTTACACGCTGCATCGGGTACGTTGCAGGTAGGTACAGCGGAGGGGGAGAGAGACTTGCAGCTAGACTCGACTTGTGCGCAGCTATAGGCTGAGCTGAGCTTTTCAGGACTTGGGACTTGGGACTTGGCCCGTCTGCGCCCGCTGATGATTCGCGCAAGTGGCACGTCGTTCGTCTTGTACAGGTTGCTGGGCGATCAGGATCAGACTGCCTCGACCACTGCAGATCCGAATCTGAAAAGTGTTTGAAGATGTGGCTGACTAATGACTTGTCCATTGACAAGGCCGCGCGTGTGAGGTTAAGTGTGTGTGTATGGGGAGGAGAGCGAGGCATCCTTGAGTTGCCCCGCGGGGGGGCTGTATATCACGTGAGAGGTCTCACGCGCAAACTCTCATCCGCGTTGCGTGCCATACCGCGCATGCCTTGCACGGTTCGTATACTCAGTGACTCGTGAATGCATGCAGCCTCACCAGCGCTCCACGATCCACACTGCGATGCGCTCACTGCACACATTCACGGATTTCAATTCGCACTCGGCATCGATCCCCGCTCCCATCCTCTGGAAAAAAAAAGAAAACAATCCGAACCGCGCACAACCCTGCCCATCACCGACTTGCGAAAGCGGCCGAGACGCTTGCGCACTGCACTGCACTGCACTGCACCCGACCCGCTCGCAAGCTATGGACGCGCTCAAGGCTGAGATTCGAAAGCGCAAGGCGGAGGCGAGGAGTGGTGGGGGCGGAGCAGGTGGATATGGGGCTTTGAGCGATGTGGAAGGCGAATCGTCTTTGCAGGGCGCTCATAGCAAGCAACCGGGGAGAGGCGCAGCGCAAGCGGTCGAGCAGGAACGAGGAGGGCAAGAGAAGAGGCGAGAAGAAGAAGAAGAGGTGCTGCTGCTGCTGGCGGAGGAGAAGAGGAGAGCTTTGAAAGAGGCTAGAGCTGAGAGGGATAGAAAGAGGGCAAAGAAGCTGAACGTGAATGGCAGCGCGGTGGATGGATGGGGTGGTGCGAGGGATGATGGGAATGCTAGCGGCTCTGCAGATGCGACTGCGACTGCTGCTGCTTCGAAGGATGCATCTCTCGTTGATTCTCAAGATGCGACCGCAGCTGCAGCTGCAGCTGCTCACTCCCTCTCCGAGCTCGATTCGATACTAGAGACGCAAAGGGGTCTACGAGCCAAAGGCGAGCCTATCCAGTTGTTTGGAGAGAGCATCAAGGAAAGGAGGTTGAGATTGAGAGCTTTGGAATTGTTGGAGGAGAGAGGCGGTGGAGCTGGAAGGAGCGGTCAAAATGATTTCATGAGAGCAATGGCTGGTGCGGAAGCTAAAGATGCAGAGGTGGCTTTGGAAGCTGCTAGGAGGGCGGAATTGGGCATGTCGAGTTCTGCTACTAAATCCAACTCGGCAAAAGAAGGCAAGAACGCGCAAGGCGATGCGCAGGAGGGCAGCGAGGAGGCGCAGAAGAGGGAAAAGGAAAGCGTGGTGGAGGAAAAGGGAAGGGAAGGTGTGGGGATGAATAGCTTGTTGGATTTGGAATTGGTCAAGAAGGATATAGACAAGGTCTACCCCATCATCTACTACACGCTCAAGGGTCTCTTGAGGGACTGGGAAGAAGCTCTTGCTCAAAGGAGCCGTGAGTCATTTCGCTCTCTTTTGCGCGCTCCGAATCTCGTTTAGCCCTTCCAAGGCGATCCCCCAGCGTGAGTGCCACTGGGAAAAGTCGAAGCTGACGCTCTCCCCCTCCCCTTCACAAACGTTCCCTCCCTCGGTCCATCTCGCCCTCTACAGTCGAGGTGCGCCAAACCACGCAGGGAAAGCTCATGGCAGCGACGCAAGTGCAATCTGCCGAGTATCTAAAGCCGCTCTTCAAGCAGCTACGTCAAAGAGTGAGCACAAAACATTCGAGCCATTCTCTTTCGCAGCTTCTCCTTCCCCCCCC